TGGTCACTATGTCATGATATATTAACATTTAAATAATATTTACCCTAAACCGTTTCTCCTGCAAATCTGCCCTGAAACGTTGAATTTTGATTGGCAACTCACGTAGCACTTGTATTACCTTATAAATTAAATACCATTTTTATACTTATTTATGACATATTGTATCATTTTTTTATGTATTTTTAATACACGTGATTATCGGAAAATTTCAGGGCAGATCTGCCCTGAATTTCAAACGGTTTAAGAGATAATGAATACTGCTATTCCGTTTTTCGCTCCATATTTAATAGGGGATTTCAGAGCTAAGGTTCAGGTTTCTGATTTTGAATTAAATAACGTATTTATTCCGAAATCAGTGATCTATAAATCATATTTATTTAATAATGAATGCTTTTACGAGCGTAAATTTCCTTTAAAAAACAAAAAACAAATGCTTATTTTATCTCATAATTATTACGATTGTTTATAAACAAAATTTTTTAAATATATTGTATTATTAACGAAAAAAAGTTTACTTCTATTGCCATAAAGCAACTTTCGCTAATGATTCCATAAGTTGATTCCGTTGCTGTTGCAACAAAAAATTTAATTGGTAAAATCATTTAAAGGAGAAACCGGCAACTGAAGTTGAAGCTTCGGCAGCTCTTTGAATAGAAAATTTTTTTAGAGGAATTTACAAAATAATTATATACTGTATAAGGGCAATTATAAATATAATTTTCTTTTGACAGTTAAACGTATTACTTTTATTTTCTTAGTGTCTTGTATGTAAAAATTGTAACTACTTTAATAAATTTTTAAAAGTAATTTAACTTTCTCTACGAATCAAAGAGTTTTTGCGGTTCTAAATATCTTCGATTAACGCGTAGTAACCTTCACAAGGCGAATTATGTTTTATAACTAGTCTTGGTATAGGATAGACTTATTAGTTTTAGAACCGAATAACATTATGATATTGATAAATATTGTGCTTAACCTAGTTGAACTGTATCTTGGTTAAAAGAAAGCTTCATGAAGTGAAAAAGGGTATAGAGTACAAAATGTATATAGTAGTACATATAAACAGTGATGATGTTTAAAGAACCAATATCATCATAACGCAAAAGTTATTTGACCCTTAATTGTAAAATTTCTCAAAATATGGGCTTTTATACGCAATTATTTTACCTTGGGCCCTTATATGTAAATTCACCATTTTTTTATTAAGTATTTTAGAAGGCATAACGAAGATTATAAGAAATAATAAGAGTATGCTCAAGTATTTAATTCTATAAATACCGTTATTGATTGTGATGCTTTAATCAATTGATTGAGATACTTGAGAACACCCTGGATATGATTTCACTTTTTGTACTACTAATAGTCTAGTTTCAAGTAGAAAACTTGGCATGATAATTATTAGCGTGCTACCTCTGGCATGCCAAAGTGTTTAAAGTTCATTATAGCATGCCTTTATTATAAAATTATAGTATATGTTTCTATTATATCTATAATTAACTACCGGTAATTTAAGAAATAGAAAACCAACAAAGCACAAAGCAGTTGGCGAACCACAGATGGAATTTTTATTAAGAGAATTCATATAAAAATATATATAAGACCGTCCCGGCTATCAAATATTTATAAGTAACTTATTTTGAAAAATTAAATTTCTTTAATTCAATATTAAAAATCTGTTTTTTTTTATGATTATTATTTTATAATATATACTGTATATATAAATAAAATAAAATCAAACTACATGAAAAGGCTAATGGAGTAAAGGGGAATGTTAAATATTACTGAATAGAACATTAAAAGTACTAATTTATAAAAGAACCTTATACTCATCAGTTCAACTGACGCAAGTAAAGTGAGGCATAACGTGATGGTAAATACTCTTAATTTGAATAGCTTACTCAAATATGTCGATTAATAAAAAATACACCAACTAAATTAACGTGAATAAAGTAGACCTAAATAAAAATATAAAGCGTGATGGTGAATGCTATTGAATAGTTCACTCAAATATGCCAATTAATAAAGAACCACTAACTAAATTAACGCGAATAAAGTGAACTTAAATAAAATATACAGTGTGTGATGGTGAATTCTATTGAAAAGGTTACTCAAATAAGCTTATCAATTAAGTTAACGTGAATAAAATGGACTAAATGAATGTATATTTTGTTCTTTATGACAGAGAGAATAAAATAAATAAAATTTACCTTTATTTACCAACCAACGACGACGAATGAAAAAAAAACCCAAAAAGAAAAAATTGAAAAAGGGCGGTTAAAATAAAACAAGATAAAAATAAAAATAATAAAAATAAATACAAATAGAAATAAAAATAATAATAATAATTAATGAAAACGATGGATTAACGAAAGGATAAAGAATCTACGACACTTCCAAATTCTGTTACTTCTTTTTCAGAATTTACTACGAATAAACAGAACACAAAAACGTGTCTTTTTATTTTGCGGCGAATATTTTTAGCATAAGTAATAATAATTCGTCGACGTCGATAATGATTTTGAAGATCCATAACAATAACGATAATAATGTAAAAAGAGTGAAGTACTTGAACAATTATTCTTTTTTCTCTAATAAATCAATGAAAAATTTCGACCAATAAACGCAACTCTATGATAAAAAAGGACGCCTGGGCCTCTATCTCTTGTTGATTGGATGATAAATACTCTTGGTCGGTCAAACGAACTTACGCTAATAAAATTATTTTTTCTGACGTATTAAACTTTCGTCACGTGTTCTATTAATTGGAATAATCAATACAATTGATTCGTTAAACTATTTTTTTACTAATAAAAATTATCCTCGGACCCGTTCCGACGGATTGATTAAGGTGCTTGAGAACACCCTTAATTGATTAAATTGTACCATAGTCGGATTTAAGGACCTCTAATACTGTATTTTCCACCATCTAACATTTCAATACTCCAATATTTATCGCGCACTCCTTCAATTAATTCAACCACGACAATTTTTCGATTTTCAGCTCCCACACGACTTTCGTAAACCTCGAATCCACTTTCTTCAAACGTTTCTTAAAACAGTTCCATACATCAGCAGTCAGCAACTTATGCGTTCACGAAAAATGTGCTTGCACGGCAACAAATATCAGTTGTGAAACGAGCAATAACGTTCGAGAGAAGTTAATCCTGGCGCACCCTTTCCTTTTTCAAGCATATCCATCACCGCACAGGCCTCTTTAACGAGTAGGTGTTGAAACGGAAAGGGGAACTATGAACTTCCTCAATAATATTATTTTCAATACCATTTTCTTGATACAAATTCTTCTCTTCTTAAATCTCAATTTCGCTCGTATTTGATTTTTTTCATTTGTTGCTTTCTTTCAATTATTTCTATTATTATTATTATCGTTACCTTCCAATTTCATCTTAATAGTTCCGAGAAAGACTATTAATAACGAAAACCGATTAAACACAAGATCTAAAAGAGAGCTCTTGCCAATACGATACCCGCTTGCTGGTCAGCTGTTACTTTTCGGTGAAGATCCAAAGCAGGGCAAAAAATACCTACTTATTTGCCGGCCATTCAAAAAGTATCTTTTTGATTCACCATATACCGAGTCCGATTGTCTAAAAAAAAATCAATTATTGCGTATCAGAAAAGACACTTTAAACAATGGACATTGGTGCAGTAAATGGCCGGTAAATCAGTAGGTATTTTTTGCCCTGATCCAAAGCACTAAAAAATGCCTAGGAACCTGTGATCAAAGACGGCGCTCTCTGATTCGACCTTGTTTTACTATGAATAGTGATGTTATATGAATTATGCCTAAAATTAAAACCGAAGTGAGTGAAAATAGGACACACAACGCCGCTGACGTACTTCAACATTCTTCAAAGAAATTCAGCGAGTTAATACCTTTCTCTTACCCAGATCCTTGTATCGAAAGTTGTAACTAATATAAAGGATATTTGTCGAATTCCACTTAGTATCGAACTCATTTAGTCTTATAATTTTACTATTGTTAATAAGTGTCATATAAAGGTTGAATAGGTGCCAATCATATTTATTAGTTTTGGGTTGAGTCTATTAGTGTTAACCAACCGTGACGCGGTAAAATCGCTTCCCTATCATTTATTATTAATGTATAAAGATAGGTGTTGAACATTGGTTTCTTATATTTTTCGCGTTTTTTACTTTTTGCTTTGTTGAGCTGATCCGTGTAAACAAAAAATTTAAGGGTAATGCTGGATCATAATCCATCCCTTATGTATTGTTGTACAAAAATTTTAGGGGCATACCCTTAAAAAAAAAGCACGTCTACACATCTCGCGTTTCTCTTTTAGTTTCTTTTTAACAAACCAAAATCGTAATAGAGATCCGTTAGGATAATGTCTGATCAACAAATTGAAGAGTTTCTTGCAAAAGAACCAGTAAGTTAATCTACTAATTTATCATAATGATCTAAACTTTTTTATACCTTTTTTTTTTTTTTTTTTGGAAATAGAAAGTTCCAGTAAAATTTAACCATAATGTTCAAGGGCTTGGCAAATATATTGGTTCAGCAAAATCAAATGTAAGAGCTAATATATATATATATATTATTTCTTAATTATGATTATTCTTATTATAATTAATGGTTTGTTTTTTTTTGGGTTTTTTTTTCACAACATATACGCGTTTATTTCTTAATTATAAAAGAATGTCTCAACAAATCAATGTGTAGAATTACCATTTTATATAGCCGCAGTTTTGTTTAAACGGTTTGAATTTACTAATTTTTTAGATTGTTTGAAAATGAATACGAAAACGCTAAAAAAAATTTTATACTCCAATATATATACATACCTGAAAATGAAAAATAAAAAGTCGTTTAGTTACGATGGATAGACCGGCATTTTTAGAAAATAAAGTTGTAAATGCATTACAAGTTAATCCATTAAATGTTAATTTACGTATTTTATGTCCACAATTTTATACTTTCGCCATAAAATATTTAGAATTGTATCTTTTTCATAAGAAATTTTTTTCTTTCTTTTATTTGAATGAAAATTCATATTATTCTGAAATTCTTTTCCGAATTTTGGAAACAGGTACGAAGATCCTGATTTGGCTGAAATTCTGATAAAGGTACGCATGGGTGGCGAATTCGAAAAGAAAATTGCAACAATATCACTTGATTATTAATTATGGTTTAATTTTCTTTTTGAAATTTCGCCACTCATCTATATAACACACTTAATTCTATCTTCCGATTGTTTATATTACTATTGTTTTTTTTTTTTGACATTGTAGAGTAAGAAAATTAGAAGTCTTGAAATATTTGATCGAGCAAAGAGAATTTATGAAGATCATAATGAGTTTATCGAAAAATTGGATGATGGAGAACAACTAAGTACGTACTATTATTCATCATTAATAAATATAATAAAACTTACAAAAATCAATTGACTATTCAATTTACAGTGTTTGAGAAACAAAGAGCAATATGTGAAGATAGTTATGTAGATTATTTGAGGGATTTTTCGAAGCGCTCCTGATAAGATTGCGACCCAAATCTTCTTTTGAATTATGGCATTACTGTGCTATATGGTTGGGTTTGGGAACCTGCGCGTTAGCCGTTGATTTGGAATGGCTATTAACCAAATTACTTGAAAAAATTCTTATTTCATTTGGGATAATAAACGTCCATTTTTAGTCAATAATCATATTTTTTAAATCGATGATAAATCAAAACAAGTGATTTAGCGACTAGACAGAATATGTATATTGGATGTGTATATAGTAAGTAATAAAAGTGAAAGCTTTTCACGTTCAAAATAAACTTCGAATCATAAATAATAAACTTTTGACAAAGATCCTTCGAAATTCAGGTAAAAATGTCATCATCCATTGTTGATAAAATCCGTAATGGTAACTGATAAATGAATGCACTTCTTGAATGTGTTCGATTCTTGGCGTCTGATCTTTAACAGTATCTGCATTATCAGATTTCTGTTTACTTATTGGCACACCAAAAAATTTTAGCATGCCAGATTAGGGTGCGCACTATGTAAACCAAATTATATGTGAATTCTTCGCTAATTTAAATAGGTGTACGTCTCCAATGGTTCAATAACTTCAGTTAAAATTTTGTAAAGATTAGTAATAATACTGTATATCTTTACAAATAAAGCGTATTATTTTTATGGCATGCATGCCAGTAATTGCTATTGTGCTTGGACACTCTAACACTAACTGTACGTACGTTGATAGAATCTCTTTTGAATAAAATTCCCACCTTGTGTTTCTCCAACTGTCCTGTACTTTGTAGATTTTCTTTTATTTTGTGAATTGTAGATATAACAGATGATTAATATTAGTATTATAAACATTGTTCTTTTTTCATGTTAAAGTATTGCAGAGAGTGGTTATATAAAAGGCTTTTTTTATTAAAGAGTTTTTATAAACCTTACATATTTATTTTATTAGCTATACATATATATTATTTGGGATTCATTATTAAGCGTATCTATTAAGAATTTAATGGGTTACCATTATTTTGAAAATTATAATTAATACACATACGAATTTGAATAATACTATAGACTATAGACTAAAGGTTATGAGAAAAACGAAGAATAATGTACCTTTTTGAAAATAAAAAGAACACGGTTCAACTTTAAATATCTTCGAAACAGTGCTTTAATATTAAAATTTATAATTTTATTGGTGTAATTGTACTTGAATTTATCATTATTTAATAATTTAGAATCTTTAATTGGCGTAAATTACTTTGCCAAAACTACCTGGCTTTAGACGACCTCCCAACGTGGCATACATTCCAGGTGTTCCCGTGACGTTGCCAGTTTCAAACCACGACCAGAAAACCAATGAAACTCCTCCACAAGATAATTGAAACCAATTAGCATTCTTGATGAAAGTAAGGGTTGAACCGAATGCAAATTGTCAATCAAAACCAGGACGGTTTTTTTTTATTACGTTAAATACAGTGTTATGGTTTTTGGCTAAACCAAAGGTAATATTATAATTTACAATTAATTTATATAAAATTATATTGTGGCATGCCATGGCATAAATTTTGGCTGATGGTATGCCAAATTTTTCAGCATATAATTATATATTACAGCAATATACAGTAGTATAATATCTAGTTTCTGGATTTAACGTACCTACACCAATTCTTCAATTTAGCAAATTCTTCACAAGTAGAATAGATTGAAGTGAAATAAGTATTAGGGTTCGGCTTTTTTGAAATACAATTTATAAACAATATATATTTGCTAATTTAAATATAATTTCGTTAACAGTTAAATTTATAAAACTGAGTCTCTTTTATTTTTATCTATTACACCATTGTGATGCACCAACTTTGTACATATTCTCCGTGAAGTTGATGGATGTAACGGTGCAAGCCTCTAGAAAAATCTGTAACATAAAGATATATAAAATCACGGTCCGCTGTATAATTCTTAGTCAAAAACCTTGTTGATTGACTAAAAATCCTAATACTTATATAGTATTATCGATTATATATTGTATATAGGCATTATATTATTTATAATATGTTCTCTATTTTTGCATTTAATGCTTTTATTTAAACACATAGTTTATAGATTACTAATAAGTTGGATTCAAAATCCATTTATGTGCACAAAATTCTGAAGCTTGATAATGCAGTACTAGCTATATTTCTTTATTGCTTAATTCTATTTCTACTTGAGATTCAAAATCCCACTTAAATGATTCTAAATCTAAAGTGGATTCAGAATCCACAAAATTTCAAATCCATACAATAGTTTTTTTCTCAAATTTTTTCGGAGCGAATTTATCGGGAAAAGATTATCGATCACGTGTAAAATATCTATATAAATACTGCGGATGTTGCGGTTTTTTTTAAACGTTAGTGTCTCTATCCCAAAGATTACTGCGATAAGATTACTGCGATATGGGAAAACCAAAAAATCAACCTCGTATCAAAGGAAACGTGCAACCAGCTAGTAGCAGGTATATACCGGCAAAACAAGTGTGTATATATAAAAAAATTAATTTCAATATCTTCTTTTAGTCGAGCTGCTGAAATTATTGCAACAGGTGGAACCCAGGTTCCTACAGAAAATTTAGGAGGATTCGCTCAATTCTTGGGTGGAACACCTTTTTCGACGTCAAATTCCTTTTCACCTGATACTTCAGCTGATAAAGCGACCGATGTCAACCTGGATTCAACTTTAGTGCTTATTTTTAAAAGATTATCCAAACGTGATACAACTACAAAATTGAAAGCTCTAGAGGAGCTCGAAGCATATTTAAGAGGAAAGGAAGATAATGAAATTGATCCGGCTAATTTAACAAATGCATGGGTAAATATTATTTAATTTTAATAGGAGAATTCTTTTTTTAATGATATAAATTGTTTATAAATTATTAAATAATTTACTGCCTAGGCCAAATTTTTTGTCAAACTAGCAATTGATGTGGATCGTCGAATACGCTACACAACATACTCTTGTCATTTGTTAATAGTATCTAAAGTTAAAAAGCGGCTTGCATCCAATCTCAAAGAAATAATTGGTGTTTGGATAATATCATTATTTGATCATTACAAGGACGTTACTCGGATAGCAACAGAATCTTTTCAAGTTCGCGTCAATTTATGTATATATCGTTGTATGAATATAATATTGAATGAATTTTGAAAAATAATTGATTTTTATAATATAGACGGCTTTTCCTGCTGGAAAGCGAGTCGAAGTTCTATCATTCTGTCAGGTGGAAATTTTATCTTATATTTCGGACATAATAATCCAAAAAACGCCAGATACATTAAGTACGAATTACATTATCCTATAAATATACATATTTTTGCATTAAGATTGTTATTAACATATCTCTCACTAAAGGTGATCCTAGGTTTACATCAAAAGAAGATATGATTTCGAAATATGAGAGAGTTGTTGCTAGCTCATATTACTCTCTTGCGCACCTGATAGGTTCCACCCTTTATTTAAGCTTATTTATTTGATTTATTTATTTATGAATTAATTAATTAATTATTAATTATAGACCAACTAAATGAGGATTCATTATTAAAAGCTGTAAAGCAGTACGATGATTTATTTGATAATCCCAAGACTTGGGTAAATTTAACTAATGGCAATCCACTTGTCCGTAAATCATGTTACAATATGATAAAAGTTTTGACTAATAAGTGGCCAAGTAAGAGCTTTTGCACTTTAATTATACCTTCAGCGATATGTACCAAATCAGTGTTGGGTAACTAATCGAGACTGAACATATAAAACTGATCGTATTAGACAATTGGATATATAAAATTTTATATGTACAAAATTTTCAAAATTATTGAACATAAGATAAGGGCTTGCCGTCAATAGAAATAAGGCAGATTAAAAAATTATCTCGATGGATTTTGAGGCTATCTTAATTATTAATAGTCAAAAGAAAGCTTACGATCTAGGCTTTCTTTGAATATTAAATGATCAAGATAGCTTCAAAATTCATTGAGATACGAGCTATTTCTATTGACGACAGCCCATATGTTCAAGGCCAACACTGTGCCAAAATATAGCACGGGACAACACAAAATATCATTTTTATATTAGTATTCTATATAAAAAGTATAGATCGATTAAAATTATATACAATATAATTTTTCTGAATTTCTAAACAAATCCGAAAGAGGGATTTTTTAAATTACTAATATAATTGGATATTTTATTCTCCCCCGTACTGTATATGTTGGAAAAATATATGTGCATTGTGTGAAGAATGTCTCATTTTGACATATTTATCTCTGAGAATTATAACCTTCAGTGTTTTTAATCACTCAATTTATTACTTAAACAGAAAAGGTTGAAGATCGGTTAGATGTTTTGAGCACGACATATTTGATGAATATATTTAATGAAAAAGATATCACTGTCTATGGCGATTCATGGGATTCTCTATTAGTATTCACTAAGAGTGAGCAGCTTTTATTTAAATAAAACAGGTCTTAATGACAATCAATAATGAATATTTATCAAATATTGACCTTTTTTTAAATGAAGATTTTCCTGATTCTTGGCTACTTGCTAGCAAAAAAAAGCCAATGCTCAATAAATTATATAATTTCCTTAGATCAGCATGCTACGGGTCGACATTAGTCTCGTACACGAGCATCCTAGCGTTAATTAACCTTCTCCCACAAGAAGTAAGAATTTCTTTTTCACTTCGGTCATAATTATATTCAAGTATCTACAACTAATGTAAATAATGGGTTTAATCATATACATCAGCTCATAATTAACGATCCAAAGTTTTATGATGAATTCTTTTTAAATTTTTGGAAAGGCTTGTCAAATACGACAATCGATCGTTCTAATTCTGGCGTATTTTTACAAGCTTATAGTGAATGTTTAGTATATTTTATATGCAAATTAGAGTGAGTACTTTGGATAAATGCTTGTTTATGTTATAATAATAAACATATTTTGCTTATACACTTACACATATGTCGTCTAGCAAGTCTGAAAATGAAAAGCAGACGCGAGCTTATTTACTTGAACATAAATTTTTTGAATTAATCAAATTATATTTAACGGATTTCAAGGTAATGCGTGTTTATTTAGTATCAAATATATTTTTATTGATTTCAATATTTAATTTTGACATTCCTATATAACAGTCCTGTCAAAAATTCCAAGTCCAGCAAATGTGCTCAATTCTTGCACATAATATGAATCAATTGGCTATAAAATTACAAGGGACAGGTTGAGTAATTGATGTTTAGTTTGTCTACTTAATATTTTATTATTGTTTAATTCTCTTACTTACTAAGATGTCATTTTGGCATGTTTTTATTTTATATACAATTATTAAGACGCGACAGATATCCTGCAACATAAATTGCAGAGTCTTATTGTCAATGTGATAAATGATGATGCCATTTTAAATCCTGATCCCAAGTTAGAAGATAATTTCAAGGAATTTTGTCAAAGATTGGCTGATTTCTTTATTGCTATATCTTCAACAGCTAAAACTGATAATAAACAAGAAATCTCCAATGCTATTACGGATATGGTATGTATAGTATATGATTTTAATCCTTTAGCTATATTGAAACAATATAAGCTGAGTAAGTTTTACAGATTTCCGTGTTAGTCGAAGATGTTTTCTGTGTTTCGTTATCAAAATGCAAAGAAAATAATGGTAAGGTCAAAATACTGTATTATAAAGTTTTTTTATTAAATTTATTCAAACTTTCTGCTTGATTACTAATTTACCGTTGATGATATCTAAAGGTCGTTCCGTTGGGTTATGTCTTTTACTATCAAATTTGAGCAAAAATTTCATTAACATTCTTCTTGCCAGAACTGCATCGAAAAAGGCATGCATATTTATCTTTTAATAATGGTTAAGCCTCAACTTTATTCTTATTATTATCTTTAAATGACGATTTGTAGGCACTTAAAAGCTTTCTTAGCAACACAATTTTTGAAATTGCTAGAAATGCATCCATGACTTGTTTGAATTATGTGCTTGATTTATTTGTTTTGTGTTTGACGTGCAGCGCAGAATTACCAGAAGCTCAATGCAATTGGAATAAACTCGTACAATCCTTTCTTGAGATCGAAACGTTTGAGTCGAAAATAGATGGTCTTTATCTTCTGATCTCTAAAGTAAGTTGTCAAATATTGAAAATTATTCTGTCTTTTCATAGAATTCATACGATTCTTTTTTTTAGGTTTTTGACGTAAACACTTCTGCCTCCTTTTTGGTTGAACAATTAAATGAATATTTGATAATTCTTAGCAATCAGTTGCTATACCAACATTTTGAATCTAATACAAGGACTAAAATCGAAAATCTCCTATGCACTATTTTTTTATTTAAAGGTAAGATTTTTCATGATAATATATCCCGATTATATGTTAAATTTACACAACTGACAAAAAAAACAAATAAAAATAATTTAACATGAAGGCTCGTTATTAACATTCGAAACAAAGCTGAAAATTCTGAGTGACCTGACGAAAGCTATCATTAGTTGTGCAAATTGCTACTATATAGCTGAAGATTCGGTTATATCCAATGAAGTTGCATTATCGGTTTTACATATCTTCGAAAAACTATTTAAAGATGACGAGTTCATCAAATTTTTTTTATATTCAGACCTGTTGCCAGTATCAGGACAAATTTTCGAGTTAACTTTTATAAGCCCCCATGAAGGTTTTAACACAGATGTTATAAAGAATATTCAACAATTAGCCCAGGATTGCTGGGATCGAATTGCATTAGCATCACGTTCTCATCTTCGAGAGGATGTCGTAATAAACAACGTATCGCGACAAATAAAATCATCATTGCTAAACATTCACTATTCTGCAAGGTATAATTAATTAATGTTCCTTTTTGAGTCCTCAGTTATATACGATTCAATAGCTTATTTGCTCTTATATAGTCCTACAGATTTCGCATTACGTGTAAAGAAGCTATGTTCGTTTTACGACAATGATGATTTAAAATCACAGGAAATCATCGAAACATTTCATATAGAAAATGAGATATGGCGCGAACTCAGTAAACTTTTCCTTTCTTCAATTGATTCATCTCTGAGCATAGTTGATCCAATGTTACTGCCGCTAAATAATGATCAACAAAATAGCCTGCAAAATAATAACCAAACAGCAGCTATTGTTGCTTATGATTCATATGGTTTAAGTGTTTACGGGCGCTTGGGTCTATTTTTGATAGAACTTATTCACAAAATTGGTGTAGATTCCTTTTTTATTGGGAATCATGAAAAGTTGTTGAAGATGGGCACAAAAGATGGCACATCATATTCAAATTGTAATCGAATTATATTGGAATTATTACTTATATATGTGTTATGTACTGATATCCGTCATTCTCGTAAAAGTGATCACCATTTATGGGATGCCTTTAATGTAGAGGAAAGTGATTATCGCGGATTCAAAGCATTTTTGGAAGATGTTCGTTTGATTGTCAAAAATTACGCTCTGCAAATATTCCAAAATGAACAATTAGATATTAAATTCATATTGGACAGCTTAAATGCTATTACGAGTTCCCATAATATTGTACATACTGGCACATCAGGTCTGCTTTGTGAAGCAGTAAGGAGATCGCATGGCGAGAATTCCGTGTATTGGGCGAGGGTTTTACATATTTTGTGTTCAGAAATATTTAATGCAGCAAGTATTTCCCTTAATCAAGCTGAAGAATTCTTAGACGTGATAAAATTAGAATCTAGTGAGTAAAGCGATTTATATTCATATACAATATTCATTAATAACATAACATGATTTATTTTGTTATATTTCTTTTAAGTGAATTTGGTAACGAAGATGGCATTTGTTTTGTCACTGAAAACTTTTCTTGGTGCTTCCACAAAATATAAAGATTTTCAAAATGATATGGCTGTAAAATTGATTAGTTTGGATCCGATGGAAATATTTAGCGAAAAAGGTTTAGAAAGCAATAATGGTATAATGGATATAACTTATTTGTGAATTATTATCAATATAATGATTAACATTATATGCACTTTTACACATTCCAGGGTTGACATGTCTTTGTTTGTTAATAACTTCAACTTCAAAAGATGATGAAATATTCTTATCTTCAGACATGAGCATTAATTTATTAATGAGAATTCAAGAATGGCGCAATGCTATAGATCCAAATATCTGGTCTAAGTCTACGTTTGTCCAAATTCATATTTTAATTGCAAAATTGTTATATCCTCTTGTAATTACTATACAAGAACTTCATGGAAATTATTGGAACTTTATTTTTGAACTCCTTCAATATTGGCTACAAGTATGTTTACAATTTAAATTCTTAGTTTAAATACATATATCTACAATCTTAAAATTATTGAATTCAATTTATATTAATATTTACTCTTAGGAAACTTCTCAATTAGAACTTCTCTATGAAGCAATTCACATATTTTGTCGATTAAATAACATAGCCGCGTATTCTACTAATAAAATTGACGTTTACGTCGTATGTTTTCCTTAAGCACAGATTTATCATTTTCGAAAAAATTATCTTAATTACTTACGTCTTACGTATATATTTTTACAGGATGATTCTGCAGAAGATGCTGTCTGTAATTTGTCTTCTAAGCTAATTACCTATAAACCTTTACTTTATCAGCAACTATCTTTATTATTTTTCAGAGAAAAAGGTTTAATGATATTCCTTTTTACAAGACCTGTGTTCGGACGTCACCTATTACTTATTTATTTTTATTTTTATAGCTCATCAGGATGACGTTTTATCATATCAATATTGCGAATATTTGGAAATTTTATGTGAAGCATGTCATGATTTGCCGAAAGAAACTCTTTTGAATAAGAAGGATGAGGTGTGTTATTATAAATTGATTTTTTGTCTATTATATCAAAATCATTAATCTGCCTTATTATTATCTTTCTAGCTTTATGCCTTATTACTTGTTCCTCATGAGGGAATCCAAAAATGTGCATACAAGCTCTCACATGTTTTGGTCAGCGAAAAAGTATTAAGGTTGTCTGAAGAATTAGAATTTCTCAGTACTTCGGGTAAATCTGCTTTTAATAGTATGATAACTGTTTTATCAATTTTATTGAATATTCGTCTTTTATATAGATGAGTCGATCTCCGTGCAATTGGATCAGGGTTTGAAGACCTTGCTCATCGAAATGCAAAGTGATCATTTAAATTTAATACATACATCAAATCCCAACTCTTTTGTACGCCTAGTACATTTCTTCTGATATTGTTTTTCAGTCATTTGCACCAGATTCTTGACACATTTATTTTCTTTGTTTTTAGGTTGTACATAAAACATTTGGATATTTACTTGCCTGGATGCTTACTTTTGACCATTTTAATCATGCTGTAAGATTATTTGTTTCCTTGAGTTTCTAATTATAGTCAAATTATAATAAATATCGATTTCCTGCTTTTCTCACTGTAGGCACTAAAATTCAAATCACAACTTATCCCATGCATCAAAGAGATGGATATAACCTCAAAATTCTTCTACGACATATTTGAAATACTAGGTCTTGTGGGACAAACAACACCTTACAATCTGTCAAAATGGGATGTTAGAGAATTCTATACTGAAGGTATTGTTAAACATTCTTGTATAGTAACATTATAATTAATATATATTATTTCCAAGCTCTTATTTGAATTTATTTGTTTAGCTTTTGAACTTCAATATAGTGCTGCATTAGGTTTTCCTTTGCTTTGCGCACATTTATACTATCGTTCTCTTAGACATATTCCTTCAATTGTGAGGTCAGGATTAAATGATTTTATTGCTAAGTCATTATAATATCTATAATATCTACAATTGATTTTTATTTGACCGATTTTTTTTTTTTTACAATTAAAAAATAGAACATGGTGGTCAGATTGTAAAAAGCGTCAATTAAGTATCAGTGTCGATAGGTATGCCTAGATTAATGATTATCTGTTCTTAATCAGATATATTTTTAAATATACGCTTCTTTTTTTAGTTACACGGAGAAATATTTTAGTCCAATCATAATCCAAGGTCAACTGGATATGCTTCAAAGTGAAGATGTCAAGTCGCAATTAGAAGATGAAAAATTTACCATTAGAATTGCTCGTAGCTCTAATGAAGTAATTGCTGCCTTTAATGTTGATGAATATGTAATGGAACTTAGTGTTCGGATGCCGAATAATTTTCCTCTGCGCCAAGCGGAATTTGGCACTCTTGAAAGAATGGGTACAACAGAAGTGACTGACCTAAAATGGGCAAAATTACCTGTTCAAACAGTGGTTAATTCCCAGGTATTACGTTTATTTATCTTTGATATAGTTCTTATTTATCGTGAATATTGAGTGTTGAGAGATTGATAATTTTACTTTTTACATAAATATATTTAGAACAGTAATTTAGACATTGCATTGAATTTGTTCAAGAATAATATCAATCTTCGGTTCCGTGGGGTCGAAGATTGTACTATTTGCTATTCCGTAGTGAGTCTTGATGATCGGTCATTGCCAACCAAAAAATGTAATACATGTAAAAATCGGTTTCATGCGTCATGTCTTTATAAAGTAAGTACTGGAATATTATCAATTTTATTTTTCGAAGAGAAATCTTTACTAATGTATTCATTACAGTGGTTCCGCAGTTCGAATTCAACAAGCTGTCCACTTTGCAGAAGATTATTTTAATGAACTGGCATATCGCAATTATGAGAAAATCGTAGTTTAATTCCAATTCAAAAAGATTGTACTTGTTTTATTTTTAAAAAAATTGACGATTATAGTGTAATTTAATATTATCTTTTCTAATTATAGAATCTTTATGAATATCACTTTTGAATATTGGGAGAGATTACTCATAAACTATTTAGTTCGGATCATTCATTGCCATAGAGCGCTGCATTCAGAACCCCTAGAATAGTACCTTACCAAATTAAAACTTCACCATTGTCTTTAATATCAATTACTCTGTGCAATTACTTTTGTCCAATAACAAGATTCCTGTCTAAAATTATTTGAAGTACCCTTTTGAATTTTATTATTCCAGCTGGTTCAAATCAATTAATTAGGTTTTTTTTTTTTGATTTGTACCCTGGATATTGAATGCAGCGCTCTACGGTAATAGAAAACTTGATAGCTTTTATGTAAAATATTGTGCTGGTGGATCAAAATTATCGTAAGTTCGGCCTCACAAGTACTTATTAAGTATTTATAACTGCTATAAAAGTACTTGTTATTAAGTATATATTTATTAAATTAAATTTTTATAGTATATAATTATTAAATATTTAATAATAACGATAAGGTTTAATAACAGATAAATATTTATAATTATATAATACTTAATAAGTACTTGATTGTACGTATGTTACGTAAAAAAAAATAAATTATTTACTTTTTCAAATATATATAAAGTTATTAATTATAAAATTATAATTATATATATATGTATACGTATATATAGTATATATGTTGTACTGTACGTTGATTCTGAATAAATATAGATTGTAATAGAATTCTAAAATGTACCCAAGTCGTTATAGAATTCCAATTCAACATACAACAAAACTATGTGTATTCTAAATTATTTCCTTGAGTATGTTGTTTTGAAATTTAAATTAAGATAGGATTTATTCATAACACAGCGCATTGCAAATTAATTAAATTTAAAAGCATGACACAAAGTTTTTTATCTATGATAGTGGGATAGCGACTATTCCCACAGGGTAAATTTATTCTTTTACATTTACACCAATTTTTTCTCCTGCATTTTTGCAATTGCATTTAATATTACCTACTTGTGAAGAGGATTGCATAATAAATGCTTTTCGTCGCATCCCTGATTGTTGTATTTGCTGAATCTTGTAAAACCTTAATGTCTTCATGCAAGATTTTATATTGCCTATTTTCTGACTCATTACTAAAATATTTGGAAAGCAATTCTTTGAATGGATAATCTTAATATTCGGTCATCAGGTAGAGAGAGTTGCAAAAGTGAAATAAAATAAGAAATAATAAAAGATTTATCAGAATTAAATCAACTTAAGTTGCTATTGGATTTATCGATTATATAGTATCAAGTATGGAATTGCTTTTAAATTTCGTATTAACTTCTGGGATTCCGTTCTAACCTAAATCTACAATGATTTCGTTCCGACGTACGACATAAACGTACTACGTATACAGTTCTATATACAGTTATATATATATATATATATTACATTTAAGGTTAATTGCTTTAATTTAATAACAATTAAGTATTTATTGGCTTTTTTTGGTTCTAATATAACAAACGTTCTTACAAGTTGACCAGAACTATAGCTAGTGTTGGTTGGTTGATCGGAAAATTTCGATTTTTTTAAGAATTTCCCCGAATACTCATAACAGTAGGGATTGACCCATATATAATAAAAAAATAACAAATAAAACATAATTAATTTATGAAATGTTTTGGTCAAATGAGATGTGGTGCTAATGTGCAGATTATACACCGTAACGGTAAAAAATTTGAGATCTCTATTTTTATAGCTGCCCGAATTTTATAAAAAGAAGCCTCCAATGTTAAAAGTTCTTCTTCAAACTTCTTTTTACCAAATAAAGGTTAGAACCCTTTTTTTACTTGTGAAATGAAAAGCTTTACCCCATGATTCTGCGTGACAAATCGTGTGACTGTATCCAAAATTATATGATTGGATCTTAATGATTTACGTTTTTGTTTGGTAAATATCTCTTTGATATTCATTAATCCAAGAATGATTCATCCTTTTACTTAATAATAGTGGTAATCAGTATTACCAAAATATCTAATGAATAACGCCAAATGAAAAACTCGAAAATCTTGTCTATAGGAAATCTTATCTAAAAAGATTTTCAGGTGTATGAATTTAACATGAAATTATGATCTTCAACCTAATCCAGTTTTTTTTTATATTTAAATGATGGCGTAAATATTATTTTTTCTGCGATTCGGATTCTGCGACTCGGATTTGCAGATTATATTACCGTTACGAAAAATAATTTTACTAATCTGAATTTTCTATAATCTTCTATATTCATATTCAATTTTAATTCCCCCCTAAAAAAAAAAAAAAAAAAAAAAAAAAGGAAAAGATGACTGATATTTCTTCTATTCTTCAAGGAGGCTATAATCATCCGACGTCTAGATTATGGCAATCAGAAAGAAGTTTACGAAAAGCTTCATTAATGTATCCAATTTTTATAACTGATATACCTGAAGCAGAAGAAAGTATTTCTTCTTTACCTGGTCAAAAAAGGTAATTAAATATTAACACTAAAGAATATTTGTATTACGATTTATGGTACAAGTGAGAAATTTTAAATAATATTTTAATTATACATTTCCATATAAAATGAAAAGATGGGGTATTAATAAGCTTGAAGGATTTCTTAAACCTCTCGTTGAGAAAGGTTTAAAATCATTAATGTTATTTGGTGTTCCTACTAGTGGAAAGGTAAATTCTTTCCTGTCATTGGATCATTTCATATTTTTATTTGACGAATTTTATTAATTCAAAAAAAAAAAAAAAATTAAAGGATGCGACTGGATCAAAAGCTGATGATCCAGATGGACCAGTAATTTTAGCGGTAAAACTTATTCGAAACAAATTTCCAGAATTATTTATTGCCTGTGATGTTTGTCTTTGTGAATATACAGATCATGGTCATTGTGGTAAATTAAAAAGATCTTAAAATTATCATCACATCATAAATCATTCGATATTATAAATTAAGTTTTTATGATGATCAAATTCTTTGTTACTTTTAGGGTATTTGAATGAAGATGGTACTATCGATAATTTGGCTAGCGTTAAACGTATCGCTGAAGTGGCGATAAAATATGCTATAGCTGGTTAGCTATCCTTAAAAGTTTATGATTCTTTTTTCATGATTATTAATTAGTCTTTGTCAAAGGTGCACACTGTATCGCACCATCAGACATGATGGATGGACGAATCAAAGCCATCAAAGAATCATTAATCAGAGAGAAGCTTGGTAACAAAGTTTTATTAATGAGTTACAGCGCGAAATTTGCTAGTTCTTTTTATGGGCCATTTAGGTATGGTTCAGATTACAATAAATGTTCTACAAGTTTTAAAATAATTCACTCAACAACGATTTAAATTCACAGAGAAGCTGCAAATTCTGCTCCAACTTTTGGTGATCGTAAATGCTATCAACTTCCTCCAAATGCCAGAGGTTTAGCACGTCGTGCAATAGTAAAGTTTCATCGCCGATTCACATGCATTCTTGTTTTTTGTTTTTTTTTTGTACTTATTACTCCTGCATAATGAATTATTAGACACGTGACCTCAGTGAAGGCGCGGACATCATCATGGTTAAACCAGGAATGCCGTATTTAGATATATTACGAGATGCAAAAGAATTGAGCCCTGATAACCCCATAGCTGTTTATCAAGTTTCAGGTGAATTTGCAATGATTTGGCGTTCAGCCGAAGCAAATGTTTTTGACCTTCGAACGGCTGTTTTTGAAAGTATGGAGTCTTTTCTGAGAGCTGGTATGTTAATTAGCATTCATTAAGAAAAAAAAAAATTGTTCTGAGCTGGTATATTAATTCATCAAAAAAAAAAATAATACTTTTTATCATAAAATTTAAATTTGAAATGTAGGTGCCAACTTAATCTTAACTTATTATACACCACAGCTTCTCAGTTGGTTAGACGCTTAAATGTTGCAATAATTCTTTATTCAATCTTTTTATATTATTATTAGTACAAAAATAAAGATCTAAAGAATCAATTTTTTCCTGAATGATTATTAAAAAAAAAAAAAAAATTTCAAAAAAAAGATAAAAATATAATCGTAAAGTAATAAATATAAATATTTCAATTGTCCTATTTTGAATTCTCACATTATCATATATATACGTATATACGATTGCTTATGAAATCGATTCATATGAAATCAAAACAAAGTTCAATATTGAAAGTTCAAATGTATGCAAAGTATATATACATATATGAGCATTAAATGAATTTGAACCTAGCAGCTATGGTAAATATTAATAAGGAAAATATATATTTATGTAAAAGAAAATAATAAAGGATATCAGTGAAAATGTAATATACAAAATTCTTTTTTGAAAGATGTTGAGTTCTTATATATATTAATAAACGATGAAAAATAAAGTAAATAAATATAAATTTTTTAAAAGTCAAAAGAAAAATTTTTTACAAGAAAATAAGAAAATACACAAAGGCAACAATTAAAAAAAAAAAAAAAGTACACAAAGGTGGTGATTCAAAAAAAAGTAAACAAAACAATCTACTCACACACCTTTTCTACAATAAAATTTTCAAGAAAATCAACATCTTTCATTTCAACCTTCATTATTACTTTTTGCATATTTAGCCAATAATTCTTCACGTTTTTTCTCCCAACGACGCCATTCACCATTGTTACCAAGACTACTATTATGGGAACCCATTGGATAGTCGGTTGGAACAGGACTATCATTAACCCAAAGCATTGAAGGGGTAGTTGGACCACCATATCCATACATATACTCATCAGTACCATTACGCCAATTTCTTCCATATTGCATTGTGCTATTGGCAGTTCCGGAACTTAGAGTCCTTCCTCTTCTTTCAAAGGGACGATTTCGATTATAATTATAATATGAAGCACGTCTAAAATGATGGGTTGCAATTGTATCACCAAGAAGAGGAACTCTTTCCTCATCGTTATTCCTAAATCTACAGCATCGACACAGACAACAACAGAAGCAGAGTAAAAGTAAGATGAATACACTGCCGACAAGAGCAGAGATCAAAGATATCAGAGCTTGTTTATGAGTGACTATTATGTAACGTTTGATAATAATAAAAGGTTAGATTTGGATTTCAAAGGCGATTTGGAAATTCGGTGGCGTAAGTATAATCATTCGTGTAACTTACCAAAACATTGGGCGTATTCATAATCCCAACTTGGACAAGCTGATGGATGTTTGAAAGGACCTTTCCAACCTGCTTGTACACACGTGCTGGTCTGTAACAAATAGAATAAAGATTTTTTATAATAATGGATTTATAATAATTAATTATAATTAGTAATAATTAATAATAAGAATACAAATGCAGCAGCAATAATTTGAGAGAAAAAAAAAATGAAAGAAACGAAGAAACAAATGAGGAAGCAAGCGAGGAAGTAAACGGGAGAAAAATAAGAGCAATGCTTACCGAGACACAAAACCCACATTCTAAATGACTCGTACATTCACCACATGAAGTAATAGAAGAACAATCTATCGAAGAATCTATCATTCAAAATAATTAAAAAATCTATCAGATACGAGAACTAATAACAAATTCAATAAATATCAATGATAATAAAATAATAACGAGTAGTATACCTGTGTAATTATTAAGACCTAGAGATGAATGCGAGTTGAGTAATACTAACGCAATGAGAGTACTAGCATAAAAATATATTGACCGAGAGGACATAGTGAAGAATTCAAGGAAGTACTAGTCTAAAATTAGTGAACGTTTTTAATTTTTTTTTTTTTTTTTTTTTTTTTGTAAGGGGCCTTTTCAAGAGATACCTGTCGGGAAAGTCAGTTTTTTATGAGCATGAAAAGAACGAGAAGAAACGTTATCGTTATCGTTAATAAGGAAAACACGAATCCAAAAACAGTGAAAGGAAAATATTGCCGTTAACAGTGTACGGGAAGAACAGGCACCTAAACAGGCGTTTGAACAGGGTTTAGGAGAACTTTAATAATTCAAATATCTAATATATATACACAAAAAAAAAAAGGCAATAGCCGCTGTGTCTAACTGACTCACATATATATATATATATGGCAAATAATCGACTTCAAAAAAAATTATACATTAACTTTTTTATTTACGAGTTGTGTAGGACAAAAATCCAGAAAATCAAAGGATACTATAATAAAAAAATATTTAGTGTTCATCTACAAGTACAAAGAAATTCATTATAAATCGTTGCTTATCGCTTATATTCATTATTTTTTATTTATGATATGATGAAATTACAGAATTAGATCGAAAAGTTGGGCTTAAACATCCCCATAATCTCATGATGCAAGGCATTTTAATCGGCGGTAAATGGTTAGACCCCTGCGTTATTTATTTCGGGAGCCTTCTTTAATATTCCGAATAAAAAAAAGTACACCATGCAATAGTATGCGAACGTGATCATAGCTTCCCCAGAAGAGAAGTTTAAATAGTTTAGAATTTAAAGAATTTGGAATATATGCAGTACATACGTACATGTATGCATCTTAAGCTTAGCGTTAAAAGATTATCGATATGGCTTAGCATTGATGCATGTACGAGTTGAATACTTCACGTGGTCAAGATAAGAAAGCTTACAGGTGTTAATATTTGCTGACAGAGGAGGGTGACATTCTAATTCTGAGATAAAACGAAGGAAACTATAATTTCTATTTTTAATTTCTTTCATTGTTTCTTTATAATCAAAGTTCTCTTATCACTATGGAAATTTCAAGTTACAAACAGGGTAATTAAAGTATGGCTTTGTGTTTACGAGATTGGAATATTAGCTAATATCCGATATCATATCAAGTAAATAACAAGTTTTTCATAAATTATCGTTATTATTGGATTGGATACAAAGAATAATCTTAAATGACGTAAATCATCAATTTCCTTTTATAGGTTATCTGAAATCTGAAATCTTGAATCCCCCAATCATTTGAAAATAGGAAAGTAATTAATTTCCTTAATCGTTCTTCTTTAAGCATTTTTTACTCACGAGTGACTACGTAGTACATATCGATATGAATAAATAATATATTATTCCATATAGTACCCATTCTTCCACTTATCGATAAATAGCAAAATGCACAATGAGTATTTAGCAGCAAGATTACCTTTTAATATATGGCTTTTCGAGTAATCAACATGACTCAATTATTATTTTTTTTGACTGTGATTTATAAGGTTAACGCTATTATTTAATTTAGATAACAATAATTCAGTAATTACAGTAGCTCTTCTTATGAACCAGTTAACATTCATACTTATCGTTACTGGCCTTAAATTTGAGATTTTATATAAAGGAAGCTTTTAAGGTCTGCCATTTCTTTTTTTCTTGTAAACAAAATCTGAACAGAAGCTCAAAGTTACTGTATTACCAATCTTTGTTTTTTCCTTCACACTGGTGTACCCTGTAGTTTGATTTTTTATTATTAATAATTATATTTGTTCCAAACTATTGTCTATTATTTGTGTTTGTGACGCTATTTGTTGCACGGTTATACGCCTATTGCTTTCGTTTTTTGCAATTTTTGGGTGTTGATTCACGTTAATAGTTTAATGTTGATATTTAAATTTGTAAAATTATGTACAACGTGTCAATGCGTGTTTTGTTACTGAGAAGTACTCAACCTTAGATACTGTATACATAAAGGATGTTACATACATACATCATCAATATGCACCAACATGGAACTAATCATGATTTTGTTTTGCTAGAACGAATGTTCTAATTTGTGTTCTCAATATATGTAATAAATATATTGATATAAAATCAAAGTTTCGAAAATAATTTGATACGTAAACTTACGTTCCTTGTTTTAAATATACTTAAATTGATGAAATAGTACGCATCACTTTGTTTAATATGCATATATAATTTTTTTAAAAAAATTCGGATTTATCACGTTATAAATAAATAAAATAGCAAGATTCGATAACCCAAGCGTATACTTATTGTTCAAGGCACAGGCACGAGATATGCTTTTGGACATACTTACAATACCTCCATTTATCTTTAAATCATTTTTTCAGCCGTTCAAAATTGTAAAATACCCGGGTATTTGGATATTTGACTGTGAATGTTCGGGGTGCATATTTATTGTCCGGAGCGTAGCAGAGGACATTAATGTTTATGGGAAGTCATTCATCTGATTGGCTAATTTTTATAGATCTACACCTGATTTCCCGCGATAATTGACCAATCAAATTACATAATTTTTATCGTTAAACTTGGAAATTTCATACAAACTCAAATACACGCAAAAAGAATTTATTTAGAGAATAGATACCTGAATCAACGTATAAACAAAATTGCCAAATTTAAATACTCAACCCGGATCTTCTTACTGCTAAAGAGCTTGTATCTATTCAAATTATACAGTTAGCAAAAGCTTATTTAAATTAATGTAATAAAAGAGTCTTGACGAGGTGCCTTCACTCTAAATTATAATTTCGCACGGTTCAATATATTTTGTCTTCTAAGAGAAGTACGTGAGAGGTGAGATTCTGCATATGCTCGTTTAAAGCTAGAAATGGTGTGGTGATTGAAACATTTAGTCTTTAAAAAGTACTTTAAAGTGTATAAATAAGTCACCCGGGCTAGGGATGCAGTATAATGAAAATGCACAGTATATTACTAAGCATATACCATTTTATTATACCATATGCATGGTATAATGCTGTAATGGATGCCAACTATACATGTTACTCAATCACGGAAAAGTAACACAAGGGTGTAAAACAAGCCATAGTGGATCCCGCCACAATTATAAGTGCCTGATTCTGTCATTTTAATAGCCGGATTGCTTCGGCAAAGCGGGAAACCACCGACGACACCTAGCCCTTTCATGTACGTACGTACATACGTACGTACATCTACCATTAGCAGCTAGTCAATAAAATTATCCGGCATGGCTTCAATCGAATCAATGTTTTCGATTTTAAATTTTTACTCTCGTTGTAGTGAACTCTCATTATAAGTATAGTGAAAACCAGTTTATATAAAAACCCTCTCGATATAGTGAATTTACTCAAAATTTACTAAGACTCTCGATATAGCAAAGGCCCGATCACTTCACTATAATGAGAGTGACTTGCATTATACCAAGGGCCGATGATTCATAGAAAACAGCAGAATCTCTCTTAAGTACAACCAACCACAGAAATTGCTTAATCACCGCAGAATATCACAGACCTAAAAAAGTGGATAGTATAGAATTTTGAAATTTTGAGAATAGCCCCGGAAAAGTAGACATAAATTATGAGAAAAAAATTATTACAGAATTTGTCTTAATCCGCAGAAAATTATCGGGTATCCAGGGCAATTGATTTACATCAGCCAATCATACGAATGAAAATATCAATTATGGTTGGCCAATTAAAAGACGTTAGTAGCTCACCCACAAAAAATTTTCCGGTCATGTGACTTTTTTATGGCACTAGCCAATTATTTTTCGAGAT